TAATTTAGAAAAAAAAGAAGCAAAAAAATGGATTGCTGATCACCCGCTGAATAAAAATTTAGCAGCAACACATTGTGATGAGCGGACTAGCGTTGTAATCATTGAAGCTTCAAACACGCTGTTGTTGTCTTGCCTGGCTTGCATATCATAGGAAAAATTTTCTTTATTGGTACGTATTCGATTGTAGTTTTCATTTATTTTCTCTCTCTCTAAGGTCGCCATGCATCGGTTCGGTGACACATGCGAATTGTTTAATTTCTAATGTTTTGTGTTGGAGAATAACTTCACCTGTAACTAAACGGAAACACAGTATTGATAACACAAAACTACTTGTCGTTGAACTGTGACTGGATCTGAACTAGAATCTGATATTTTTTCCATTAGCTTTTTTTGTATGTGCGATGGTCCATCGTAGAACGGCGGATAACCTTTTTTCTTCTTCACTGCGGACTTGTCAGCAGCACGAACTATTTTTGCGTTCCAGCTTGGAGCGAACTTTTTGGGCTACTAGAAATGCAAATCTCAAACTTTCAAAACGAAGAGTGGGAGTGAGTACTACATTGAATCAGACGGGTCGTTTTGGATGAGCCATTTTGATTTTACACCCACTAAGTTTGCTGTGTAGGTTTCACGTGATTTTCGGTTTTGGATTTCATACCATGAGAGTTAACTTTATTCCCACTCATGAAATACAGCTTTAATCACGTAGGATGGCAGATAAGTGTGCCCTCAGTGCACAATAATCTTTGTCGGAAACCAAAACATGTCTCACTTTCTGTACTGACAATATGTCTGACCCTGAAACAGGTGGCCGTCCGCATGCACCGACTCTATCGGGACGTGAGACAAATGAAACGACGATCACGTGACCAGAAGCGATCGGATTTGGATTTTCTCACTCGTAATGCGGTCATTCACGAACGAATGCGATCGATCGGTACGGAACAGAGGCGTTTAAGTTCACGCGGATCGTGGACACGACGAGTGTCTAATGAGCTCAGCGAACCCAACAAGATGGACGGGGAGATGCCAACGTCAAATCGGATTGGGATGTTGCCGGGACGGGATCGATTGCCGACGATTGATGAACGTGGTCCCTTGGTGGAACATCGACAACCGATCGTGAAGGAAACGGAAAATAAGTTGGTAAGCTTATTGGATGCAACTTCTGCGCATTCAACACGAGTAGCGTCATTTTAAGCAAAACGAATGTCAAAAATACGTTATCCAGTTAGGTCAATGTGATCGCACGGTGATGACGAGATTTTCGAGAATATCGAAGAAGGTTCAATATCCAAGGCTTAGTGGGACTTTTATGGACACTGTACTATTCATGTATTCAAATTGCAAACTAACTGCAGAGTACCGAATCAGGTTGAGTTACGCGCAAGCCTTGGTAGACGAATTCAACGAGTCTGAGGTATATATTTAAA